TTCAATTATTTAGCCTGAAATGTTGGTCATATCCTACCCTCAGCCTAATCCCCAGACTGAAATTTCAGTTACCACTTACTCAAAGCAATTTGTTCCTCCCTTGGCCAAAAAGGTTAGGAGAAATTTACCCTACATTTTTCAAATCTCTTGATATTTAAAGCCTATTTTTATTCCCCTAGATTGTTTGAAGAATTGGGATTCCACTGTACATCATCAGTCTGACACCATACATGTAGCTTTCTGCTTCTACTACATCTCATCAGCCAAGCTCAAAATTTAATTTCAATTTAATTTTTAAACTCAAATTTATATTTTTTAAAATGTAAATTTCCCTTACTAGTTGCCAAAAAATTCTCTCATATTAAGAAACTATCTATAAATACTAGTCAGCAAGTTTCTTTGTCGATATCAACTGTAGATGTTGACCTCTCTTGGGAATTTAACCGAGGTTGAGCATTTAATTGCCTTTACATGGTCACTCAACCAAGTCTTAACATAATGTTGCATCTTTATTACTTTCTTTCACTTCAGTTGCCCAATCAAAATGCAAGAACAATGCAAGGCAGATGCTCAAGCTCCATACACTTGCAGTCTGACAAATATTGACATCTCTGCATGAGCCTACATTTCTTGCAATTTGATTTGCTAGTTAAAACAGAAGTTATCAAAAAGACTAAATNCCTTGGCCAAAAAGGTTAGGAGAAATTTACCCTACATTTTTCAAATCTCGTGATATTTAAAGCCTATTTTTATTCCCCTAGATTGTTTGAAGAATTGGGATTCCAGTGTACATCATCAGGTTGACACCATACATGTAGCTTTCCGCTTCTACTACATCTCATCAGCCAAGCTCAAAATTTAATTTCAATTTAATTTTTAAACTCAAATTTATATTTCTTAAAATGTAAATTTCCCTTACTAGTTGCCAAAAATTCTCTCATATTAAGAAACTATCTATAGATACAGTGTACTAGTCAGCAAGTTTCTTTGTTGATATAAACTGTAGATGTTGACCTCTCTTGGGTATTTAACTAAGTTTGAGCATTTAATTGCCTTTACATGGTCACTCAACCAAGTCTTTAAATAATGTTGGCATCTTTTTGACTGTCTTTCAGTTCATGATCAGTTGCCCAATCAAAATGCAAGAACTATGCAAGGCAGATTCATCAAGCTCCATACACTTGCAGTCTGACAAATATTGACATCTCTGCATGAGCCTACATTTCTTGCAATTTGATTTGCTAGTTAAAACAGAAGTTATCAAAAAGACTAAATTAAAAACACTTGATCATGTGGCAATGGTACATCAATCTAGATCTTTACTGTTATTTAAGTAAAACACATATTGTCAACACAGTTTTCTTTCACAAATTAAGGTCAAAAAAAGTTATTAAATGATTTTCTCTATTTCC